CTAAACTTCCTAAAAATAGAGTATTTATTGCCTTTATTTTCATTTCCTTGAAACAAATTGTAGTAACAGATAACGTTTAATGATATCCAGAATTAGAGGAGTGTGCGATAGACTTACCTCCACGTGGTGCGCCCTAGGCAATATGTACTCATTCGGCTTCAACATACCATAATCCCACTGTACGTCACGTTCTACCACTTTCGCAGTACTCACCTTAACTTACCTTTGTGTCTGCCTCTTTTACATCTGTGAATCAATCTTCTGTCCACCCCCCCCCCCTCCATCCTCTCGACTATTCGTGCCTTTCATGCTTTTACCCTCTGTGAAGCCCGAAGTCAACTAAAGAGCCAATGATAACAATCATAAAGCCTGCCAATTATTGTAAATATTTAGAATTAGGCGAGCAAAAGAAGATTCCACAAAAAATTAAAATTTTAAATTACTAGAAACCAAATTACAGTAGAAAAAGGTGCAGTCTGTTTTTTAAAGGATATCAAGGCGTTAATCCAGAGTTATCAGCCTCTAGTATTTGGCAGTACTGGAATCCCTTTAAAGCTCCTGTCGAAACTCTTACATGAAGCCGACTTGCCAACCTATTGATTAATTTTAATAAGGCAGATTAAGGCAATAGCATAGTTTCACAGTTTTAAAGGTTTTTCCCCTCAAGAGTACGATGAGGCGATTTACTTAAGGCCTGAGATATATTTTTATAAGGTAGAAGAATGAACAAACCAAATTAATCAGAATTTTTTGCCTTAATAATGTTGATTACTTAGCCTTAACTCTTTCTACTAAGAAAGTTGAGGCGAGGGGTTGGAATGGCAGTGCACCGCCACAAATCAATACATTAAGTGATTTGTAGTAATTTGAATCTACCACCACTATGAATAAAAAAATTCGCTTAAATTGATAATCATAAAGATTACTGGAAATTGCTCAAGCGATTGGGTTCTTACTTCTTGAATTTCAGAGCACTTATACCATTTTTCAATTTATACAACAAAGTTGTAGTTTTCATAACCAGTGAGTTAGTCTTCGGAATCAAATCCATTAAATCTGTGATTCCATTAGTTCTGGCTGAATATATGGATAGTGGAATGACATTGAATGACTGATCGAAGAAAAATGATTACCGAAAATTGAGAAAATTTGAAAATGTCTTGAATCGTTGGAAATGCAATGGCCGACCACCAATATGTTGCTCATACACTCTGATTAAAACCTGGAGAGCTATGCTTTTCATACAATCACTTAAATCCGTGAGTTAGCTAGAGATTAATATCTATGATATTTATCAAATTTAAAATTGCTATACTATATATGTGATTTTATTTTTACTGCTTTTTGTATTTTCTATGTTAGTCTTAGTCAACTGGTTTCTTCTAAGGCATAAGTACACAATTTGCAATTTGAGTTTGAGCGAGTGAAGTGTTTTGAAGCTGTAAACACGCTGTGCTTTCTTATATTTATGCAAACTTGAAATCAATCTTTCATCTTTTTCCCTGGAATAACAAAGCTTATAAGTTTGAATTTCTGATTATTTCGTAACCATTTTTATCCTAATTACTATTTACAAAGGCATTTTGAATCTATTATTTAAACTCTGTAGGGTAATTTTTGGTGGTCTTTATTGAACCAAAACAATTACATAAATCCGAAATTGTGTAAAAAAAGCGCAACCAATAAAGTGCAAGTATGTCCCAAGGTCGTGAAAATGTTACCATTCGATTGGTTCACGGGGCTCACGGTTATGCATTGATCTTCATATCCTGTATTGAACTGGTCCGCGAGGGAAAACTGTCCAACCAACGGTTAGGGTTAGGGCACAATCACTGACTACACGACTATTGCAGGAACAATTTTTGACACTTCCCTCCAGTGATTCAGGATGTCTACAAAATGTGGAGCTTGCGAGAAGGCTGTCTATGCAGCGGAAGAACGAAGATTCGGAGATGTCGCTTATCATAAGCAATGTTTCAAATGCTGTAAGTACCATTATATTTAACGCATACATTATCAAAAACCACTCAAAATGTTAAGCTATATGTTTATACTGATAGTTTATTAATGTCAATGGATTTTTTCATCGTTTTTAATCACTTCTTTACTTTTTTGCGGTAGAGTGAAATTTGGCTACATTTTCAACAACAATAATTAATAAAACCTGAAATTCAAAGTAATAATTTTCTTGTTTGTTTATAACAATAGATTCTACTAACTTAATAAAACAAAACTGTTCAGTTATCATCCGTTATAACAGTAAATTCGCAACAATTTTAAGAGTATTGAAATAGGCTTATGAATTTATACTTAGCTAAAGACGTGTGCATATGAATATGAAATTCGGAACTTCACCTGTAGAAAGACCACCTAACACAATTGAGACTCAGAGCGGTATCCGTATTTTAAACAACTCTATCGGTGGCACTGATTTAAAGAGAAATAATTTCGAACCTTTATCTATCAATGATTGTTCATAAATAATCTGATATTGAAATATTTGGGACTCATTTAATATTAATTCGAAAGCTGCTAAAGAATACGGTGAAAATCCACTAAAGAACTGTCATTTTATTGGTCCTGATTTATTAATAGCCATGAATCGCCTTAATGCCTTACATTAAACCCCCCCCCCCCCTCCATTTCTCATGGGACTTTCACGACCTGCTTTTAGCAATGTGCAACAAGCCAGTGGATAGCACAACTGGAGCCCAGCATCAAAGAACTCTCTACTGCAAGACTTGCCACGGTCGTGAGTTCGGACCCAAGGGTTATGGCTTCGGTCAGGGAGCTGGTGTTCTCAACACTGAGAAGCCTCAAGGTCAAGGTGCCGCTGAGGGAGGTGCCGCGTAAGTTAAAATTATATTTATCAAGGTATAAATTTGTTTACTTAGGCAGTCTACCAGGTTACGTCTTGATAACATCAATGCGCCAACTTACATTTGCTGAAAAATGACTAACCTTATTTGAGCTTACTTCCACGAAGAATAAAATAGTTTATTTAAAAAAAAAAATAAACCTTCATGTTCTTTTCATTTCTCGAAAAGTGTTTTAAAAAATGAAATAGTAGCAGCTTGTTTAAAAGCACAAGCATAGTCAACCATTCCTCAAACAGTGATTGTGGTGATGAAAAGTAATCTTATCTCAAACTCCGAAACGTTAATTCTGCTAAATTTTTATTCGATTGGATTGGAAAACTGCATAATTGATTTTTAGTCTCCAAGAGAACGCATGCCTTTTGTTGTACTTTTGGCAACAATCGGCATTTGCATAATTATTTAGCCTTGAACACTAGCTAGTGAACTTTGACTTAAAGATACCATGCTTCTAAACTTTTCTCAAAGTCGTTTTGAATCTAAGAAATGTGCTACTAGTAATTTTTTGCCCATTGGTGAATTCTCTGAGTTTTTTTTCAGTGGTGCACCAAAGCAAGGTCAGCCAAGAACCGTCAGCCCAAGCTCTGGTGGATGTCCCCGCTGTGGCCAACGTGTCTACGATGCTGAGAAGGCCATTGGTTGTCCTGGTGATGTAATTTAAAAGTCTAATCCATATTTTGCTCCCGATTCAATCGAAACAAAATTGTACCATAGAGTATTCCCCCAATAAATGAGACCTACTTGAACCAAAATAATAGGGCATTGAGATATTGAACAGAATGCTTCAATAACTCTTCCCCTTTAGCTGCCCGATTGCTTAGGGGTATATATTAATTTTAACTATGACTGATTTATAGTTATTATGACATCAGCGACTATTCGAACTCCTACCAAAGGGTGAAGTAGAATGACTGAACCACAACTATTAATACCAATTAACATCCGTGTAGGTTAAACTCAAAATGAAATTGTCCCTAATCGTAATATCGTTAAAATAAACGGAAACTTATTCAACTTACGAGACCAGATGGTTATCGTTTAAGAGGGACTTGTACGAGCTTCCAAACTTCAGAATGACTAGATTTGTACTCAACTGATGATACTTATCACGGCATCTCTGAAATTACTTGCAAACGTTAAGCTTCAGCTGAAACTTACAGGTTTTCATTTTTCATCACTTTTAGGTAATTCCAAAATATTTCTTTCAATGTTTCTTTTTAGTTGAAATTTCACAAGCGTTGCTTCCGCTGTCAGACTTGTGGCAAATCTCTGGATTCTACCAATCTCGCTACGAAGGACCTTGAAATTTATTGCAAAAGTACGTGTTTTAAAAGTACAGAAAGTCACACACTTTTCTTATCTGTCAATTGCTAAAGAACGAATATACGCCTATTTGCTACTTATATAATAGGTTAGAATAACAAAACTGTCCCTAAACTAGCCTGAGGATTATTTATTGATTCATTGATCGTAGTACAACTTGCCGCAAATAAACCTGTAGGGCACCTTAAACTATTGACCAGTCGTGGTAATTCACGAATGTTATTTGACTTTTGTAGCTTGCTACGGAAAGCACTTTGGACCAAAAGGCTTCGGCTTCGGACAAGGCGCTGGCGCTCTTAACATGGGCTAAATCCGGTCGCACCACCACCACTACCATGAGGAACTAGGACGCCCAACCCTTGCAATACAGATCCGTTATGGATGTCTATTTTATCGCCCATTCATTCTTCCTTTCCTCTTAATTTTTGCTCTGTTCTTCTCTTTCAGCGCCTATTTACCTCGCTATTATAATTATTTGCGAAATAAATATATTTAAACTTTTATTTTCTACTTGCTTTATGTAAATGGGATGGGGGGGGGGGGGGGGGAGGGAGTTGATTTTGGAATAATCAAGCCATGAGGTAGTTAGACAAGATATAAGTGAAATCGGAGTTTAATTTATGTAAGTGTATTAAAAAATACCACTTCGTCAACGTTTCCTGTAAAGCCTAATTTGCACTCCTATTTTGTATGGTTCCTGTAATACGCTCCTCGATCAAAGTGGTTTTATGACTTCTTGCTTAGGTCAAAATAATTTGACCTAAGGCACTAGTACATCTGCAGGATAGAAGTGATGCTTATTTTGAAAGAAGAAAAAAAATGATAGAAAGAAATTTGTTTTCTTATCAGTAGGGAATATAATGTGGCAACCATAATTAATAAGAGAATCTTATTTCCAATGTTCAAGCACATACCTGCATGCTGGCATTCAATATGGTACAACCTCTACTGTTTGTCTTCGAATGACATTTCCCCTATTATAGGCAAGAATGCCATATGTAACTTTAATCCACACTCACCATCAAGCTGCCGTGCTGTTTTATGTGCGTTGGGGTTGTGCGTATTGTAAATGCGTCTGTTTTCGGCTACTTCAAGAGCAGGAGGAAGAATTATTGAAGTTTTGCAATCCATATTTTCATTTCATTAACCTAATAACTAATGTTACTGGAAGCTGTCACTTCCCTTGAACTTCTAGGAGAAAGCAGCTAGAAATCGTACAAGGAAAAAAGTGTTTTATTAGCATTTAATAGCACAAACCGCTTGAACGAAAAAAGATTGCTGCTTTTTGCAAAAACTCCATGTTCAATATTAATGTAAGTGACTAATAATTTGCCAATCCCACTGTGACTCATACGCAGAATGTTTTCAATGAAGTAACGAATACAGACTCCTACTATCGTCCCTGATGGACTCAACCCCCCCCCCCCACACACAACTGTCAAACACAATTTGCACCATCGATCGAAATGGCTCTGTCTGATTTTTTCATTCAGCAAATTAACGTCATTAATTTAGTGCATATACTAGTCAGGAGTCATTTAACCATAAAAGCTCCAGATACAATCTAAAAATTTAGATATTTTGAACAAACATATCCAACAAAATATGCGGGTTAAAAGGCCTTTCCAACTGGCATTCGCTATAACTGCTACCTAAGCTCACCCCCCCCCCCCCCCC